AAGCGGATCTCCTGCAGGAGTGGAGGGAAAGTTCAGCCCAGCTGTTTTTGAAGTTGTCTCTTCTGAAGCACTACATGCCAGACATTTCCAGTCATTGTGCCTGAACGAGGCGAAGCTTCTCGGTCTTTGATGTGAGAGGAGGCACTTTGCAGGGAAATTCTGTTCGCCATTCGGTTTGATTCTGCTTTTTTTCACGCACACAGCAGGGACTGTGATGTTCTATTGAAACCACACGCTTGATGATGTAATATTCTGAGACCGGCTCCCGTGTTTTCTTCTTCTCCTCACCCCGAGGACAGAAGCGGCTCAGTTCTGGTCCAGCGGCACTTGTGGAAAAGACAACACTCCTTTGCATTACTAAAGAGTTTGATGAGGAGAGGGAAATGATGAGCTGAAGAAAAGGAAGAAAGAAACTCATGGAGAATGTCTTGAATGACCAGACTGCTCTCTAGTGGACTTGTTGGATACAATCTGGCGTTGCTCCAACAGACACAATCTAATGTATTTAACAGCAGGGAGGTAACAACTAGCCCACGGTTTCTGGTCACCTACGACATGGCCGCCTGTCATTTGTCTTCCTATCAGTCTTTCTCTTTTTTTTAATGTACCTTCAGTTGTGCTGTCTCCATTTGAGAGGTTTTACAGCATGACGTTACATTAGTGTGACTGCTTTTCAGACTAGTAAATATTAGGGATGCATGCACCGATGTATCGGCCGATAATCAGTATCGGCTGTTTAAAAACAGCTGATTATCAAAGCCGATTTTATCTTGCCAATCAAAAGGGGGCGGGGAAACGTGTCAGACAGACAACTTCTCATGTGTGAAGAAAATGTCTCTTGTGTAGAATTTAGGGTTGCTGAAGTTAACATAAATAAGGCATTAACAATCTCACTTTGACGCAGTAAAAATAAATAAATAAATAGCGTCATTAACGCAGATTATATTTGACTCTATTCTATTTGAATTCTGTTTGAATCGCCCATAGTTGCCAGGGTTACCAGGTCAATGGTTTTTCCTTTAAACAAACACTATTTATTGCACGCCTCCCATCCAATAATCACAAAGAGCTTTGTCCTTTTGATACTTGAGCTTTTGATAAAAAACAAAGGCTCAGCTCTCCAATTTGGTCCATTTTATGACAAAATTCAAGCTATAAATGGTGTTTTGACGCTCTTAAATGGGAGAGTTCACTCTATAGTTTATAGCATTAGTTGGGAAGAAAACCAAACTATCGGTATTGGGATGTAATTCTGAATAATCGGCAGAGAAATGTAGTAGGCTATTGGTGCATCCCACCTAAATATGAACAATATTAAACATTCATACAAATTGTGTAATGCAGACAAATAAAGTCTAAACAGAAAACATCAACGTTTGTTTCCAAAAGCTGAGGTAGCTTTCTGGGCATGTGTAGGCGTAGCAACTTATTCTCTGAATATAAACTGCACATATCAGTGCATGCATGCCCTACTGATGAGGCTCCAGTGGGCGTGACAGAGTTCACACAATGTTATATTATATAAAGCACTGTTGTAACAAAAATCAGTTTTAGTTTTGCTTGTTTGTTTTTGTTCAATGGGATGTTTCTCGTGGAAAGAAAAAAGGTACAGCGCTGTCACTAGGGTGATATCCTAAAGCTAAAAGGTAAATCTTTGTACATTTTTTACCCCTAAATTGTCAATATTAGTACCTTAATGCTATACTAGTATTTTGAAAGTACATGTTAGTAGCCTCCCTAAAATGTACATATTAGTACCTTTTAGCTTTTGTACCTTATACCGCCCCCAGTGACAGCATTGTACCTTTTTTCTGAGAGTGTATAATTTATTTCTATAATGCAAATACATATGTGATATATTTCAACTTAGAAGAACAATTGTCTTTCTTTTTCTAATTGATATACTTACGAACCTCTATCCCCTGCTGCATTAATGGCAGAGGTACGTATCACAGTACGTAGAGCCGTTTTGTCTGAGACCATAAAATGCAACTCTAAATTAAAAATGTATATATATATAGCCTACATAATACCAGTTTGTAAAACTGCCAGCTTGAGCCATAAAATCTCCAAATCATGACATCTATTGTCTAAATAGGCTGCATTTTATAGAAGCTGTGTAACTGGAAAGTATGCATCAGTTCAGACATAACACTTATTACTGATTCATGGTGATAAGAGTCCAAGATTTCTGGCATAATGCAGTCAGAATGTATGCATGGAAAATCTCAAGAACTAAGGTGCTGCTTAAGTGCTCTGTTGATTTTAGCCAGAATTCGGTTTTAACATTTCTGTTATTTATGTATTTATGTTGTGTTTCTATGGCAGAAAAATGGAACTGTAGCAGATTAAAAAAAAGTCTTGACAACTGTGTATTTTCTATGTTATGCTGTAATGGTCAAATGTGGCCACTAGAGGTCTATGTTGCGCTTTTTTAGTTATTGGTTCTCTCAGTAACCACATTATGGCAACTCTTTTACATCAGATAGATAGATAGATAGATAGATAGATAGATAGATAGATAGATAGATAGATAGATAGATAGATAGATAGATGATATTCATTTTCACGGAAGGTGCGTCTATAGCACAAGTACAATGTGTATAATATTTATATTTTATATTTATTAGAATAGTTTGTCATAGAATAGTTTTCAGCATAATTTTTTTGTCTTAAAGGCATAAACAAAACAGCCATTGATACAAAGTTTTTTTTTTTAAAAAAAGCTTGATGAACTATAAGAAACATTTTCTAAATAAGACATTCTCTAAGTAACAAGTCAGTTCTATAGTGTCTTCAGAATGGTAAAGTGTATTCACAGTTTTACAGTATAAAACTGTAATTTACAAACAAAATTTGTTTTGAATGTAAACCAGTAATTTTTTTTTACATTTTAAATTTCATTGAACAACAGAAGATGTAACATAAAGCCCTAATGTACATAACTGATAACAAAAACTATTAAAAAAACATGATTATTTAAACAAAATACTTTCAAATGTGGAGTGTCACGCAGGGAATTCTGGGAATATCAGTTTACCGTTTTTGACTGTAAATTATACATTGATTTGTTATTTTTTTACTTCTAAAAACTGTACAATTAACAGTATTTTACTGTAAAATTACATGAAATGTCTGGTTAGATCTTTTACAGTTTTTCCCTGTATATAGTACGGGAACTTACTGTTAACCTATTAACAGTTTTTTTTTTCCGTAGCGTTTTTATCAAATTTTACAGTTAAAATTACACTTATTTTTTACAGTGTGGTACCCGAAATACCCAAAACTCTATTAAGAGTCTTCTATCAGCCAAGAAGTTGTGAAGATGAAGTGATGATGGTAAAAAGGAGCAGAGTATATTGAATAGTCTTAGTTGCGTGACCAGCACAAATTCAACATGTACTGTTATAACAAAACTGCTTCAAAACAACATCACATAAACCTTGAGTTTCCATAAACATTCCCTTTTATCCCTTATTCATGAAGACAAACAGCCCTTGAAACCATAAGACTAAACAACAATGGAAAAATAATATAAAAATATAATATAATATAAAAGACTAATCAATTAATGAATCAATGAAATGGGTATATAAATGACTATAATGACTATTACAAATGATTATGTGATTAAATTGAATTATAAATGAATGAATGAAGAATAAATGAATATAAAAGAAAGAAAGTAAAACACAACACAAACGTATGGTTGCTCTCTTGAAGCAAAACACACAGAGTTTGCATCTGAAGATCCTCCGATCCGTCATTATGTCACTAATCACTTGAGATGCATTGTTTACAGGAGAAGATAAGTCATGATCAGTTCAGCATGCACAGACTCCATCCTCCTGTGCTCTATAATTCATGAGAAATTATATGTTATTGGGAAATGCCCTCGTTCCTGAGATATCTGAATAATATAAAACACACTGCATCTACAGTAACTTCTCTGGATTAGTTCAGTCAAAGTCAATGATATGAAACATGTAAACTACCTATTCTTTGACAGTCATAATCAGCGTTCACTGAGCTCAAATGCCTGTGAGTGAGGGTGTCAGTAAATTCTATTAAACTCTGTTATAGCAAGGAAAGTGTATAATAGCATAATATGCACTGAGCTGTGCTGCTCTGTTCCGGCACTTAACCTTTTATAAGTATCATATTCAGCGACTGACATTTTAACACATTATATGAGGCGTACTAAAGCATTTGGTACTTATATAAAGTAGAAAACATTTTTAAAAATCTTCATTTAACTCTTTCAGCTTCATAAAAACACTGATTCTAAGTGTTTTTTTATTTTTTCATATTTAAATTCAATTAGTGAATTATAAATTTCAGAAAAATCAGTGTTCAAAATGGTGTTTGAGCTTTACTAAGCCTGTATATATATATATATATCAAATGTTAGAGTTGGGACCAAATGTTAGATTGTAATCTGACAAACGCATGTTTCCCATGACTTTGATTTTTTTTTTTTTTCAACAGTAGCTAATGCAGCAGTACAATAACAGTTGAGAAAATGGAATTAAATCATTCATTTTTCTTCCTGTCATGATGCAGAAAAAGAAAAAAAAATTTTTGTGTGTGTTACAATTTTAAGCAATGTGTAGCCTAGTTTTTGCAACAGGAGGGGATCCGTGCAGGAACAGAATTGGGAATTCAAAATGTGTTTTTTTGGTAAATGAAACTATTTATTTATTTAAATACAGAAGTCAATGGATAACATGGAATACTAACAAATAGTACATTATAAATAGTAACAGATTATAGTGAATGCTTTTGATAATAATATTATTATTACTGGCGTCTTTAGAATAAATGTACTCGCTTTGGGGAAGAAAAAAACGGTTTTTCTGGACTTCCAGGCACAGTTCATCTTGGTAGTAAATATAATAGATGATGTTTTATGGGAGGAGTCAGGCAGGAGGCGGGGTCACAGCAGAGCGCTGCGGAAATGCCGGCTGCTGATTGGCTGCTGTCCGCGGTGCTGATGCGGGAGAGAGTGGCGTTCATCGCACCGCGCTCTGCGTTCTGCTGCTCTCATGGATTTCCACCGGATCTTTCCGCGCGGGATTATCGCGTTTGGCTTTTAGGATCGCGCTTGGAGTTAGAGTATGATTCACAGACAGCTCATACTGTCCCAGGTAGGTGTGTTTGAGCTTTATTGTCCGTGTGTGTGTAGTACATTATTGTGCTATTGGTGCTGAGAATCTGAACCATGAGACTCAACCAAAGATTCTGCAGTGATTTATTTTCTTATTTTATAATCACTAACACTATCAGATATGGCAATGCTTATTAAATCAGAGTTGATGCTGATTCATTCACTAATAGATTTATAGCATTGTTTAATTTTGATGACAATACAGCTTTAACATACTTTTTATCAAGCGCTTGGTTTTGTGTAATTTGATGATGCATACACGAAGAATAACCCAATCATAAATGCTTTTGTCATATCACATGCACTTCAGAAGTGCTGGATTGGTGAACTAATACCATATTTCAATAATCAGGCCTTATGTTTGGACAAAGAAGGTGTTTTGAATGGATGGCATGAACTACAGTATAATATAATGTGAGGACTTCATTATTATTAGCTTTGCACCATCATAATTATATGCATAAGAAGATTGGCTTCATAAGTTTCCTGTTTCACTTTTATGGATCTGATGCCACACTGTTAATTATGAGAGTGATTTATGAGATTCCTGATGCAGTGGCTTTGGGTTTATTGGTTGTGAGGTTGGGATTGATGGTGAGGGTTGCCCACGAGGTTCATCAGACAGACCCGGGACGCAGGCTGGTACTTACCCTGGGCATGCTTGGTAAATTCTTTTACAGATCCAAACAAACGCACAGTTACCTTGCTATCTCAATGGGCGCATGCATTTTATAGAATGCTAATTGTACTTATTAAAAACTTAAAAGGTCTTAAATGGAAGCAAGAAAGTCATGTTATTAAATGTTGGATGCACATACCTAAACAGCCTTAAATCAAGATGCATTTACCTGAGGTGGACAGCTGAAGTTTTTCTTTTCTGAGAAATTGAATGAAATGAAATGAGTTTATGCTTAAAACAAGGGGAAAGAATATCTGTCATTGGGGTGTGAAAATGTGTTCCCCTTCTGAATTAAGTAGATTTTTCTGACCTCATTGGCAGATATTGTTCTTGTTTTAATCACGTCGTTTTGATCACTTTGACAGAAAACAAGACTTATGTAATTTTGCTTCTCAGTGTATCTTGATTCAGGAATCTTTAAACATTTGCATGGGAAAACAATGAATCTTTTTTTTGTAAAATCTGTTTAAAAGCAATATAAAGTTGTTGTTAAACTGTTACTAATACAACTCATATTCTGCTCTTTAGAAATGTACATTTACAGAGCATACGGATGTATTGTGTTTTCTTCCATTTATTACTTCCATTTTCTTTAATTGGTCTTAAAATGGTCTTTTAAAAGTCTTAAATTTATATATAATGTAAACAAAAACCTTTATTTTGGATGCGATTAATTGCGATTAATCATTTGACAGCACTAATATTTATATATATATATAGAAGGAGATAGAAAATTGCAGACACTATCATTAATCATTAATGTTAACTGCATGACTCTACATTCTTTTAAATGTTTTTTTTGGTTTTCTGTCACACTAAATCTGAAAAACAAAGCCCGAGCGGCCCCTGAACTAATGAAAATACTTTGTCTTTTCTGAAAGCTGCATGATGATGGCTGCTAATGGGAAATGCAGAGCGTGCCAGAGTGAGCGTATGATAACTTCATAAGCTCTCCGTATGAGTGGAGCTGACCTATATATGCTGCGATCCTCACGCTTCACTACGCTCTCCTGCGCTCAGGGCTCTCCCAACATACTTCACGTCATCATGACCCTCATTTCACCATGCTCTCTTATCGCTCCTGTAATAGCCCACATACGCAAGATCCCAAACACCTTGTTGTTGCTTGATGGAAAAACAATAGAGTAGAATATTAATGTTACAGTTGCTTTTTTTTTTATTATGAGGAGATCCGTTGGTCTCTTGGTGGATCGTCCATGTGTTTTCATTCATGTTCAGTTGATCTGTATTGTACAGATGGCAGAGAAATCACGCACCTACTAAAGCCTTTGTGTCCTTCGTCTTGCTTATCCGCACAGATGCAGAGGTCACTGGAGGCTTGTGTAGATATACTTAACATAATAATATCTTCAGTGTCTTTCACTGTGGATCTTTGTTGTCAAATCCCTTTGTTGTCTCTGGTTTGCATGCAAACTTATATTCAGGCTGCCGAGATGAAGATAAGAGACTGAATGTGTTTCAGAACTCAAGACTGTGTGTAAAAGAATGCATGCTTTAACCTCTAAATATACATGTTATCTTCAATTCCATTAGCTGCACATGAAAAGAGCTGCGAGGAGCTCACAGGAGTTAAAATGATGTTATGTTCCAGTAAGAACAGCACAGCAGCTCAAACTAAGACAATGTTTTATCTGCTAATCTAAACTGTGCTTCCTGGTCCAAAATTAGTTCATTAAAATTACAATATTACTACGTGACATTAACCTAACTACATAGGATGCACTAGCGACAGTCATTTTTAAAGAAAAAAAATGCTTAATTGTTTTTAAGGTGCAGAATGACAAATAAAAGTTTCAGGTTTTCATAACCAAAAGTCTTTATTATGAAAAATCTTAAATTATTAAAACATCTTTATTATGTTGATTTACTGTTACTGTATTTTTATTGTTTATGTATTGTTACTTTGTTTCTTTAAATCCTTTCTGATATGTTAGAAATAATCCTTTTTATTGAAACTGTTGATTTTATTAGCATCTTCAAACAAAGAGCAATGACAAATTCTACTTAAGCCTCCTATAATGTGTCGAAATAAATGCATGATGTGACTGCTGTTTAACTTCATTACCTTACAGGTGGGTTGCATGAAGAATGTTCAAAGTTAAACACAAATTAAGGAATAAATGTTCAAAATGCATCACATATTATTAGAAAATAATCATAAAAAACAAAACGATCATAAAATGTCAGAGTGAGTTTCTGGTTCAACTTTCTGAATGTGTTTCATGGAAATCACAGCTTATGCAGATACACTACTGTTCAAAAGTGTTTTGCTTTTTTTATTATTCAGCAAGGTGGCATATACATAATGCAATATTATGTTACAAAATTCTATTTCAAATAAATGCTGTTTTTTTAAAACAAACAAACAAAAAAATGTAAAAATATTTTCACAGTGATAATTTATTACAATTTTACTTTTTATCTCTATTTTTGATCAAATTAATGCAGCCTTGGTGAGCAGAAGAAACGTCTTTCAAAAACATTAAACAATCTTACTGACCCCAAACTTTTGAACAGTCGTGTAAATCCTAATAAGCAGGTAATTTTTGCATGATATCCAAAAGGACACCAGAAAAAGGAGTGATTCACTTTGTATCCGGTTGTAATCTCCCCAAAGACCTTCACTGTTAGTGCACTACTTTGAGTGTTTATTGTTGTGTTTGTGAATTGATGTATTTTCACTGTTTGTTTCTGATTCTGATGTACTTTCTTGTTTGACGATGCAGCTTTGATTTTGATTGCATTCTTGCATTTGACACATTAATATCACTGTGAATATGTTAAATGGTTTCACAATATTTTGTCTTGAGCTGAAGGTTCAGCTTTGTAGCTCAAACACACACACACACACACTCACACACACACACACACACACACACACACACACACACACACACACACTCACACACACACACACACCCAGACACTGACACTCACACACACACACACTCACACTCACACTCTCTCTCACACACACACACACACACAC